AGCCCCGCTCCGACGGCCGCCCGCCCGCCGGGGGCTGCTGCCTGGACCCGCACGAGGCCGCGCTCGCCCTGGCCGCGCTGATCGTCGCCGTGCAGCTGGCGCTCAAGCTGGCCGCCGCGGTGAGGAGCCGGGCGCACGTGGCCGGAGGGGGCGCGGGGGGCTCCGCCGGCCCGGGGCGCGGAAGGCCGCCGGAGCCGCCCGGGCAGCCTCCCGCGCAGGCGCTCTGGGGCGAGCCGGGCGCCCGGGGGCTGCGCCCGGGGGCTGGGCGGGTCCACAGGGAAAGGGGCGGGGTCAGGGCGCCGGCGGCCCCCGCCCTCCCGCCCCCACTCAAGCCTCTCGCTCCGTGCCGGTGGCGCAGCCTAGAGACCTCGCTCGGCCCTTGAGGACGGGGAAATTGCACGGGGGGGGGGGAGACAGGGAGAGGCCCCTCGAGGCTCCCAAAATGAATGCACTCGAGGCCCCCCACCCTTTGGCCTGAGTGGGTGCAGCTTGGGCTGGACAGACCGAGGGGCAGAGTGCCTCTGCCCACTCACAGAGCTCTGGACCAGGATGGCGCCCCCCGCCCCCGCCCCCCCCCGCCGCGGCTGCCCTCACCGCCCTCCCGCTCTCCCTCCAGGTCTGCTGCTCCGTCTTCTACTTCCTCGGGACTGTCCTTGGAACCATCTTTGCGAAGGGTAAGCGGAGGCCGGGAGAACATGTTGCATCACACGGTCCACGGGGGGGGGGGTCCGACGGGGCGAGGATCCCATGTGAACACAGGCAAACACTCCAAGCTCACAAAATACCTAAGAGGTTAAGTCGCTATTTAAGCACACACACAACTCCGTGGTTAAGTCTGCCTTTAATGTGGCAGGCCAGCCCCGTGCCCTGGGGAGGGTTCCCCGCGAGGAGGGGGGAGCACCCATGGGGCGCCTGAGTCCCACTTAGAAGTTTCAGGAGTCACAGAACAGGATGAAAGTGGGGCAGTTCTGTGATGCCCCCCAACTTGGCTTACCCTGGGCGTGGTTTGATCCTGGTTAAAAGAGTTCTTGAGGTGGGTGGACTGGAAGCTATCACTGGAACACAGGTTATTGTGCTGTCTGAACCCAGCCAAGCTAACCAACCGCAGGGAGCCACCTGCTGCTTTACAACCCAGCAACAAACCACGGGGTCCCTTTATGGGCTGCTTGTGGTTGCCACGCCATAGTTGGTTAGCACCACTGGTCCAGATGGGCCCCTAATCCACGGTTCCACAATCCACATCCAGCCCTCGAATGTGCATTGCCAGGTTGGCGGCACCCAGTCTCTGCTCCCAAGAGGGGCAGCTCGGGAGCCCGGCCCCTTCGCATGCCCAGAGGAGAAGCCCCCCACGCCCTGCCAGAAACGTCCCCCGAGACACACGGGAGCACGGCAGGACAGGAGCAGGGCCGGCCCGTCCAGGAGCCCGGGGGCCGGACTCCGCCGTGTCTGAGACACAGGAAGCGGCCGCATCGACGCCTGCGGGCGGGCGCAATCCAGTCCACTCACACAGCACTCACTTGACTGGCTGGGGATGGGGATGGTGGGAGTTGGAGCCCAATGCATTTTGAAGGTGCTAGATGGGGCGGGCAGGTGTCAGTCTTCAAAGACATGCGCCACTCAACTGGAAGGGTGCAGCCTTGCCCTTCTGTAGACACCCAGCACATCCTTTGCACAGGACGGAACGACGTTGCGTGGTGTCGCTTTCAGCTGCTGTTTAAACGGCGGCCCCGCTGGCCTCCCTGTTGCCGCTTGTAGGGCAGTTCTCCTGGCTGGCCGGTTGCAGCGATGCCTCTCCCTTAGGAAGGCTCCGGAGCTCCAGAATTATGAGCCGCGTACACAGTGTTTGCCCAGAGTGACGAATTTGCTGTTCCTGGGAGTTAGTCTGAATCACGTCTGTCTGCGATGTGCCATGTGAGCAGCCCTTGTGAGCTCCACCGTGTCCCCGCTGGACAAAGCCAAATCCAAAGCAGGCTAAAGCAGGTTCCAGCGGGCCGGGCTTCCTCCGGGAAGAATTCCCTCGTGAGAGGTTCCGGCTGTGTTCACGGGACAAGCGCCCCCATGTCAAGCCAAGGCCCGGGCAGCCGCGAGACGGGCGCGTCGCCAGGCCGCCCCCCTTCAGCCCCGCGTGCCCAGCCGCTTTGCTCTCTCTCCCCAGAACCCGAAAAGCTGCCGGCTGCCCCCGCCAGGGGCAAGAGGCCCTGCTCCCGGAGGGCATCCACGCGCTGGTCGGAGGAGGAGGTCCCGCGCCGGCGGCGCCGGGAAAGCAGCCTGCTGCCACGTCACTGCGTCCACTGCACCCTCGAGCCGGTCAAGCTCACCATGAACCTGTGCCGGGCCGGGCGCCGCCCCCACCCCGACTGCCCCCCCTGCCACCTGCTGCACTGCTGCGCCTGTGACAATCGGCACCGCCAGCGCACCTCCTCCGCCCCCTCGGGGTGCAAGGTCACCCGGTGCCGGGAGGTCGCGTGCGGCACCTCGGACACCATGCTGGTCACCAGCAGCAAGGAGCGCCGACCGCTCCCGGTGGCCGGTCCCGAGCCTTATCCCTGGGCGCCGGTTGGGGAGACCCAGTATCACCCCGTGGGGCCTCCCCAGGACACCGACTACCTGGGGGGCGCCCAGCGCGCCCGCAGGCCCGCCAAAGTCTACATCTACCCGGTCCACCCCCCAACGCCACCAGGGAGCCGGTCGGGCAGCCCCGAGAGGAGCTACCGGCGCCGGGGGGCCATTTCGGGCGGCCAGGAGGAGCTGCAAGAATACGAGCCGCGAGAGCAGCGGCAGCAGCGGCACAAGTCGCGGGACCTCGAGCACCAGGTGGACACGGTTCCGCCGTCGCCACCGCCGTCGCCACCGCCACCGCCACTGTCACGCTTCCGCAACGCGGCCACCAAGGTGATCCAAGGCACGGCAGCGCACCAGGAGTCCCCCCAGGCGAAGCAGCGGTACTACTGGCCGGACGTCACAGCCGCCTCGGATTGGGTGTATCGGCCGATGAAATAGCTCGGCCCCACAACGAAGGAAACCAAAGGCAGGAGGAGGAGGAGGAGGAGGAACTCTTCTGGCCACCCAGGCCCGACTCATCCGTGGGTTGGGGAATAATAAAAACGGCACGTCCACCCATCCTGGACCAGTTCCACCAAGTCGCCCGAGTCCTGGCAGGCTGTTCTTCACTGGGTGTGCGCGCATCGCTGGCTCTTCCGGGCGGAGAGCGACACTCCCTTCGAAGCGCTCGGAGGCCCCGGGGGGGAGCCACGTCCCGTGGGGCCCGGTGCCAAAACTCCGGTCACTGGAAGCGCTCCCTGTGGCAGCGGCACGTAGGGGGCCATCCCATGGGTGCGAGACAGAATTCAGTGGACTGTGGCAGCTGGGACATGTTGGGAATCGGAGGCCTTCGTTCTGTCTCAGTGTCTGTAGCGTTGCTCCGTGTGCTGCTGGGAGCTTCCTGGAAGGGGGGAAAAACTACCCCAAAGCTGGGAAACGGGCAAATGACGAAATGGGCAGGAAAGGAAGCCAAAGAGGCCGAGGGGCCGGGCCGTTCTTTTGCGAGGGACGGTCACAACTGTTGTGACGTGTCCGTCAGAGACCAGTGAAAGGGAGAACAGGTACAGGTGTACAAAATGATGCCAGGTGTGGGAAAGGCAGATAAACGGTGGTTGGCAAAAAAGGCAGGAGGGTTTTTCGAAATCGCATTATTTTCAATGGAAACTTAGCCCTCTATTAGGGTTAGGGGTGGGCCCCAGGGTAGGGTTAGGGTTAGGAAAACGAGGTGTCCTGGCATGGTTTTGATGGTTGGAATGTGTTCAGAATGGGCAGAATTGATGAGCTGGGCAGGAAAAGGTACTCAAGGACGGCTTTTTTGAAATCGCAGAATTTTCAATGGAACCTCAGCCATGTATTAGGGTTAGGGGTGGGCCCCAGGGTAGGGTTAGGACAGGGGTGGTGAACCCATGGCACCCGTGCCACCCTGTGCTCATAGAGCCTTCTCTGTCGGTACGCAAGCCAAGTCGCCCCAGCTTCTGAGCATCGGATAATCTTGCGCACAGGGGCCATGCGCCTGCTGGGAAGGAACAGCGGCGCCGGGCAATGACGTCGCGAGTCGTAAGCTAATGAGTCCAAGCGTTTGCAGGGCCGTTCAGAGTGTTTCCAAGATTTTTTATTTTCTTGGCTTGGCTGTGAGGTGTTTTTTCTAGACTAAAACCTCAGTTTTCAGGTTTTATTGCCGTGTTGGCCCTTTGCGATAAATAAGTGCGTTTTGGGTTGCAGGTTGGGCACTCGGTCCCTATAAAGGTTCGCCAGCACCGATCGAGGCCCTGCTGGCAAGAACCCCGGCTGAGTCCCGGCCCGGCCCTGCCCCCTGACACCACTTCCAGCACCAACACAGGATCAGAGGGAGCAGAACAGCCCCCAGATTGGGCCCGCAAACGGAAAGCCATGTGCATTGATTATATTTGTGCACCAACTTTATTTTTTCGGCAGGGAACCCTCAGCGCCTTCCCTAATCCCCTACTGTATGCACACAGCCACCCTGTGAGGTAGATTCAGCGGAGGGGCCCAAAACCACGCATGCGCTTCATAGCTGAGAGAGACTGCGGCGCTGGATCTCCTGGGACAAGGGTGCTTGGCCAACCGTCCAAGCACCATCCCACACTGGCCTTTTTTTAAAGGAAAAATAATAAAAATGAAAAACCCGTTTTTTAAAGCGACGGTCCCTGAAAGGCCGCAGGGGGCGGCGAATCCCCGGGGAGAAGCGGAGCACCGCGTCTCCCGGCACTGAATTGAATCCCTGCGAGAGGACGAGCTGCGCGCCCCGCCCGTTCTCCCTGTGAGAGACATGGCGCGCCAAGGACTACCTTTCCCAGAGTGCCCCGGGCTTCTCTTTGGGCGGAGCTCGCCGCAAAACTACCGTTCCCGAAGCGCAACGGGGCTTTCTTGCTGTTAGGGCTACAGTGCTTAACGTGCTGGGGGCGGGGCTTTGAGAGGCGTTTAGCCCCCTTTTTTCCCTTTTTTAAGAGGGGGGATTCTGTCTCATCTTGGGGCCTCTCTGGGGAAGTGCGAGTTGCAAAAACAAAAGACTACATTTCCCAGAGTTCCCGGGGCTGGGTGGGGCTTCTGTTTGGCCAGGTAGCCGCAGGTGAGTAGGCTGCGAAAACTTCCTGGGTTGCGGAAATCTGGAAGGGCGTCGTGGGGTTCCCGCGGGACCGGGGGCTGCCGGGGGGCGGGGGCTTGCGCGCCCCCCACCGCCGCAAGGGGCAGGTGGAAAGCAGGGGAGAGGAGGCAGGGAGAGGCGCAGCGCGCAAGCTGCGCTTTCTGCTCCTCAACAGGCAGTAAAGTGCGAGCCTTTCGAGGAGTTAAGAGTCGGCCGAGAGATCTGAGGGCGCAGCGGGCGAGGCGGGTGCACCGCCGCCCCCTCCTCCGGTCGCCACCCCCGAGATCTCCGGGCCCGGCCCCCCCCCCCGCAAGGGCGCTTGGCAGCTTTCCGGTCTCTGTAGGCGCCCCCCCGCTGACGCGCCCCCCCGTTCTCCCAAGGACCGTTCTCGGGGCCGCCCCTGCCGCAGCCCGGCCCAGAGCGCATGGCGTCGCCTCCTGAGGACTGCCCCCCGAGGCCGGCTCCAGCCAAGCCGCTCACGGACCTGGACTTTCGGTCCGGGGCTCGCATCGAAGAGCTCAACCAACTCATCCAGGAATATGAAGCCAGGAGTCCGGGGGTCCTCGGCGCCGCGGAGGTGCTCTGTGCGAAGGATCGGGTCTTCTCGCTGCTGGGTGAGTGTGGCACCTGCGAAACAGGCTTCGCTGTCCCCTCGAGCAGGGCCACTCTCCCCCCACCCTGTGGTCCGTGCCCGGCGCCGGCCACGCGCCCTGCGCACCCAGGGGGCGTGGGACAAGTTCGCGGGGCGACGGCGTCTTCTCAGCGCTGCAACAGTTGCGGCTCCAAAAGCCAGAGCTCCAAAACTCGCAACAGGAGCGATGCCTTTCCTGCTGTGCAGGCAGGACCGAAACTCTGAAAAGCCAGCGATGGGTCAGCCATCAGACGCTCCTCTGGCACCAGTCGGGACACACGCCTCAGAGCGTCGCCGGAAGGTCAGCGATGCCACGCCTGGGTTCTTAAAGGACCCTCCATGCGGGCCGTCCTTTGTGCAGCGGGGTCTGCGTCGTCCATTTACATCCCACCATTTTTCCTCGTGTAAGGCACGCAGAGCAGCTTCCATAGCTCCATTTTATCCTCTCAACAACAGCCCTGCAAGGCAGGGCAAGCTGAGGGTGAGTGACTGGCCCAAAGTCACCCAGGGGGCTTCGCAGGAGTGGAATGATGATGTCATGTGGGGACGAGACCCCACATCTCCCAGGTCCCCAGTCCAACGCACTGTCCACCACGTCGTACTGCTTCCCTGCGCACCTGTCCACAGTTTGCCCGCTTCCCTGCTCTCCTCTCCTCTCCTCCCTGCCTCAAGCAGCAGCGTCCCCCGCGTCTAGCTTGAAACGGCTCCACCCCTCAGCCACCATCATCCCCGTTCATGCCACAGCACAGGAGAAGGGGACTGCCGACGGCCCAGTGGCCCGGTCTGCCTTCGCGGCCAGCTGAGCGGCCCAGCTCGGCCGATTGCGGGCAGGAAATAACAGGCAGGCCCCGCCACGCACGAGGCCCGGTGGCACGTCTCCCCCTCGAAGCCGGCGTGGGCCGAGGCGCCATTTTCCCGGCCTCTCCGCCTCAGCGTCTCCGTTTCCCTCCCAGGCCAGGTCCAGAAAGCGGAGGGGAGGCTGCCGCAGGTCAACCGCTACCTGATCCTCTCCGGGGGCGCGCAGCAGGGCACGGTCAACGTGGAGCCGGGCTCCGTGCCTCCCCTTTCTCCGGGCAGCGACTACGACATGGACTTCACGCTCCTGGTGCCAGTGCTGCATGCAGCCGGGGTCCCTGTCACCCTGGAGATGAGGCAGAGTCCCCCGGGCTGCGCCCAGATCAGCCTCTGCCCCTTCAACGCCGACACGCGCCACACCTGGTCAGACTGCTGCGTGGGCGACGAGGCCTACCTGTCCGCCGAGCGAGTGGCCGACTGGTTTTGCCTCTCCATCTCCCGCGCGGCCCAAGACGCGAGGGTCGAGCGCCGAGGCTGCCTCGCCTCCGTGGTCCTCTCCGTCGGGCTCTGCCGCATCCTCTACGACGTCGTCCCCGTGGTGGCCTTGAGAGGCTGGCCGGAAGTTGCCCAGCCGTGGCTGGCCCAGGCCCACTTCTGGGACGGGAAGCTGAAGGAGGAAGAGGTGGCGGGCGGCTTCTACCTGCTGCCCTCCGCCTCCGGCGCCTGCTGGCGGCTGGCGTTCTCGGAGAGCGAGCTGCACCTGCGCAAGAGCCTCCCGCCCCCGCTGGTTCACGCCGTCCGCGCAGCCACGGCGCTGCTCGGCGCCCGTCCCCTGGCGGGCCTGGGGCCGTACCAGCTCTTCACCTTGTGCCTCTGGTCCTGCGAGCGCCTGCCCGCCCGCTACCTCGCCCTGGAGGAGAACGCCGCCCACGCCCTGCTGGGGCTGCTGGACGACCTCCTGGCCAGCCTGGTGCACCGGCGTCTGCCCAGCTACTTCCTCCCGCAGTGGAACCTCCTGGAGGGCCTTTCCTGGCGGGCCATGGAGCGCCTCGCCCAGGACGTGGCCAGGGTGCGGGCCGACCCCTCCCAGGGCCTCCGCCAAGCCGTGGGACGGGCAAAGGAGGCCAAGCGCCTGGCAAAGGCCTTCAGAAGCCAGGCATGCGCCTCCGTGGACCCCTGAGGCCCTCGCAGGCGCGGTGCCCGTGGGGGAGACCTCGGACAAATTGTCCAAATCCTTCACCCTGATGGGGCTCCTGGAAGCCTCTTCCCGGAAGTGGGATTGGAGGGGTGGGTTCTTTGGCGCTCTCTCTCCTCTCTCATGCAGCCCCCCACCAAATCCAACGGAGACCCAGGCAGAAGTGCTGCGTTCGTGCTTTGTTCCCTCGTGAAGCTGGCTTTAGCCGGGGACGGGGGACGCATCGTCAGCTGGGGGAGAGGACCGGACGCAGCAGAACAGAGACCCAGCACGGCGGTCTCTGACCGACGGTGGACTTCAACTCCCAGAACCCTCAGCAAGGTCTGGGAGTTGAATTCCCACGTGTCCGGAGGGCACCCGGTTGCAGAGGCTGCGACAGAATAACCAGACTGTGCCTTGAATCAACGTGCAGACGTCCCGCACCGAAGCAACTTCTCTGGCTGGCTCCTCTTGTTTCGGGGCTGCCATTTTGGCTTGGCAACCTTGGAGGTACATGACCTGCCTAAAACAGGAGCCCTCCAAGACACCCTTTGCCTCTCTCAGGGCTGCTGGAAAGAGCCACCCAAAGCACCGTCTCCGTCCTGGTACTCGGAGTCGGCAGGGAGGGGAGCGGCACAGGTCCTCCCCCCCCCCCCGCAATACTTCCCACTATCACTAACACGTTGACTTTAAGCAAGGAGTGCCTTCCACTTGAAAAAAGGCCCCCTATGTCTCAGGGAGACTGGCCATCTTTTTAATCCCCCTTTTGGGGAGCAGGCGTCTGCCAATCAAAAAACGACGTCCTGAATGTGTAGGTTGAATGTGGGTCTGTGGTTCTTTTCGTTTGATTTTTGGTGCACACTTTAAACATTGCCATATCTTCTGCAATGGGGATGATGAGGGTCTGTTTGGGTTTTGCAACTGGGGAGGGTTTTCGGCCTGGGAGAAGTTGCATTTCATATTTAGCAGCACGCTTCGTACGCAGCGTGTCTGTAAGTAAAGACTTCTCTGCAGCAAGCTGTGTTTATCCCTTTATTTGCGGGGAAGAGACTGGCTGGTCGAAGCGGAGGGAGGGAGGGGGATGCGATGGGGGGCGGAGAAGTCCCGGCGCAGGGCTGTGGACTGGGACTGGTGGCCTGACTGTGTGGGCCTGCAGGTTCGGCCGAGCAGCAGTTCCTGCCTCGTGAGAGGCGCACCAGGCACCTGCAGGAGGGGCTCTTGGGACCCAGTGACTGATTATTGTTCTGGGGTCTGGCCCACTGTGCCCCGGCCGTTCAGCCCTTCCGCCCCGGCTCACCGCCACCCGTGTTGAAACAGGCCGCCAGTGAGCGTGTGGAGAGAGCCGGCTGGGTGCCCCTGCGCCGCATGGGTGGCACATGCTTTCCCAGCATGGCTGTGACGTCGGCCCGCTGATCCTGCCCCGCTCGAGGCGTAGCTCCCCAGGCTGGCTGAAACCGTCGCCCACTCTGTGCCAGGGTCCCCGCCGCCCTCGCCCCAGTGGGCACACTCTGCCTTTGCAGTGTTGACCTGGCTTTTGTCCTTTGCACATGGGCAGGAGGCAGTGGGGGGGGGCAAGGCCCCGTCCTGATCGGGACATTGACCCCCCGCGCCATGTTGTTAGTATTGCTGCACCCTGAATATGCAAGAAAATATCTAGCCAATGCACTCCCCACACCACAGCCTTCTGCAGCCAGGGTGGCTGTGGATGATGGGAGCTGTAGTTCGACCCACGTGGAGGGCACCTGGTTACTGAGGTGACACTGACAGAAGAAGCCCTTTATTAGGGCCGGCTGAAAAGTCGCACCAGCGCCAGCAAGGCGTGCCGGCCTCTCCCTCGGGCGGTGTGTGAATATGGCGGAAATGACGGAAAAACAGGGCAAAAAGAAGCAAAGCACTCGCCCCGAGACTCTTGTGCCACGCCGGTCTGCCGGTCTGCAGGGGGTGCCTGGGGGGGGCGCACAGATGCGCCCCGATGCCTCGGATGGACCGGGGGCCCCCTGCAGCTGCCCCGAAGAGGGGCTGCCCTGGGCGGGGCGTCTCAAGGGCTCCCACTCATGGGGTCGCCCAGCCCCGAAGGGGAAAGGGGGACCTAGGACCCCCGAAAGAGTGCCGCCTGGCACCAACTCCTTATTTTCTGCACCAGGTCGAAATCTTTCTATTTACCCAATATTTTCACAGTTTAGAAAAGGATCCGTCCTTTTTATGCTGCATTTTATCCCACGCTGTCGCATTTCACTTGGCGCTGCTGCTGCGGTTGCGGTGCGTTTGTGGTGAGCATAACGGTGGGTATCGTGTTTCTCTTTGATGCTCTCTCTGTGTGATCGTATATGCAGCCCCGGCCCCTCCAGCTTAGCCAAAAGGGCTCAGCGGGGTCCCCTCACGCCCAGCTGTGCAGGCAGCTGGGCCCCCCCCCGGAGTCCCACGGTCTGTTTCTCCCACTCGCATGGCCCCAAACCCAACCCAGGGCCGCCCCGTGGAGCTGATGGGCGGGGGCTTCCCGGCACAGCAGGGGAAGGTCTCCAGCCAGTGAGGACTCCCAATCTGGGGGGCTTCCAAAGGGGAACTCCCGGAGAAGAGGGCTGTTGTGGCATCCAGCTCCGGTGGCTCCTCACAGCCCCCGTTAGCAGAGGATGAAGCCGATGTGCTGGGGAGGATGGGCTCTTGCTGCAGGGCTTGGCCGGGGCCCCAGGGGACGCTGGACTCGATCCACAGTGGCACGATCCGGGGGGTCTTCGCACGTTCTTGTGACTTGGGGGCATAAACAGAGCTCGCCTTTCGGATGGCCCAGTGCTGTCTTAAAGCATTAACTGTGCCCCATGTTTGTGGAAGGGGGATATGGGGGTGCACTGGAGCCCCAGAATTCCTGAAGGGGCCTTTCAGATGAGAGTTGAAGGGGAGCAAGCAAGCTGGAAGAAGGGGGCTTTTGCCCCTAAAAATTGCAAATGGCCTGCAAGGACAGAAGGGCTGAAAGCACATCGGCAGAGCGGGCAGTTCCCGAAATCCTCTGCGCGGGACGGCGTGAATTGGCCTCTGCAAAAGCAGAGCTTGGACCCCACGGCTTCCTGGCCCCTTCCAACTCTGCTGGTCTATGATTCTGCAATCAAATTATGCACATTTAAAATATTTCATTTTTGAAAAAAGGAACTCTGTGGACATTTTTAAATGGGTTCTCCTCCTGGCGGCGATCCTTTGTTGGTTTTTCGAGCGCCGAATCGCATCTATTCCCTGGCCGGCCCATCGGCTGATCGGCCTTTCTTTCGGCCTCCGCGTTCTCTGCTTGTAAAAGAAGGAGCGGCAGAGTCACGGAAGCAAAAGGATTTCCACACATGCTGTTGTACACAAATAATGTTGCGTAAATTGCGTAGTTTTGCCTCCACCGCAATGTGACCAGACTGGGGGCTACCTAAATGTTGAATATGTTTGAACAAATGTTTTAAAATAGAAGCAGGAGAGCAGCGAATGACCTCTGGAAAATAAAAAGATGCGCACTGGAAGCATTAAGATGGGAGCGGTCGAGGGTGAAACGTCAAGGCGACGAAACACGACATGCGGAGGGAAAACGTGAAGCGTGCAGCGACGGCACGGCAGATCCCGTGGGAACACCGAGCCACGAAAATTGCACCGTGCGGAGGGAGCTACAGCCGGGCTTTGCAAAGGCCCTGGAAGGGCAAGACCAGGGAAGCCGCATTGGAGCAAAAGCAACACGGCAATCCCGAAGTTCTGGCAGGCCCAACTCGGAGCAGCCCAAGGCGTTGCTTCGACTCTGCGAACTCCTCCCAGGCCGAGCGGGGAAGGGAAATTGGCGGCTGCCCGCAGGGGCCTGGGGAAGAGGGCTAGGGTCAGGGGGAGGGGAGACCCACAGCTTGCGGGAGGAGAGCAAGGGAACCTATGGGGTGCCCCCCCGTCTCCAGGCCATGACCTCTCTGGGCATAGGGAGTTCCATGCCCCGCGCTGGAGATGCAGCCACTTGGCTTCTATTCAGAGCAAATTTGTGTCCTTTAAACCTACATATGAAGCAGGATCTGAGCGAGCTTTTGGTCCCAGAAGCTATTTTCTGTGCCATGCTTTGCCCTGGAAGATGCTGGTCTTCCTCAGAGGGAATTCTGGTAGACGCGGATAATCAGGCATGGGAAAATCTGCCCCGACCAAATTAGCTGCCGAGTCAACCCAACATGCCTGCAATCGGGCGGAATGAAAGGGGTAGCGGGTTTGGTCCCCGGGCTGCTTTGCCCCCGGAAGCTGGGCTGGGGGCATGGAAGAAATTAGCCCACGGCTGAGATATGGCTTGTCAATGGAACCGGGACAGGAATGGGGCCAAATACGGACCGCCCCCCCCCCCCGCTGCCCCCTGGGGCAGCCCTAATGAAAGCTCTAAGCCTCGAGGGGCTTATGGAGAGCCCAGCCGGGCTCTGGCTTTGCAGGGGCGGGAGAGCAGCCAGCGCCGGTCTGGATTAAGGACCTGAGCTTGTTGCAGCTTCCCACCAAGGGATTTTCAGGGCCCCTTGAAAAGGCGGGGCAGAGGAGGGAGGGTGGGGGGGTTGCATATGCAAAGGCAGAAGGGAGGCAGGCCGGCCCTCCCAGCCCTCGAGCCCTTGCGATGCGCTGGACTGCAGTTCTCATCATCCTCAGCCAGCATGGCAAGCGGCGGGCTGCGTGGCACGCTCACCTCGGCCCTCCAACGGCTCTCGCTGCTGCTGGCCCCACGCCCAGCATGGGGGATGTCCTTTTGCCTTATGGGGGGGCCGTCCGGCCCTGCACAGCCCTGGCCGTTTGCCCCCCACCCCACGCAGCTGCTCGGAGGGGTGCTGTGGGGGGCAGAAGGGGCGAGCGCACACCTTGACTGCCGTTCTGCTCTTGACGTTGGCTTCTGGCTGACTCCTAAATCCCTCGTTTCAGCATTAATCTTTAAAGCCCTTTGGCACGGCTCCAAAGGGAGGGTTTCGGCCCCGAAGCCCTGGCGCGATTCCCGGCCCCGGCGCCGCCATATCTGGGCGCTTCCAGAGATGAGACGGAGAAGGGGGGGTGCCAGCGCCCCCCAACGTGGCGCCCGGGCCACTGCGGCAGGGATTCGGTCCACGTGGGCCGCCGTGACCCCCCGAAGGCTCTGGGTCTGAGCCCCGGAAATGCAGTGCCGGATGCACCCCGAGGCACGGCCGGCCTTCCCGCCAGGCGCAGCCATCCCCGGCTAAGGGGTGCCTGGGAAGGGGCCCGACTCCCCCCTCCCCCCCCAGAGGAGGCTACGGAGCCCTGGCTCCTTCCCTCCAGCCCATCTCAGCCAGCTGAGCTGAGCCCCGGAGCCAAGCGCCGGCACGCGATCTCCCGGACTCTGGCTGGCCGGCCAGCCCGGCGGAGGGAGCAGAGATGGCGGAGGACCCCGGGCCAGGGGCTGTGGGGCAGGCGGGGGCCAGCAGCTGCTCGTGTGAACCCCACTCTAGTGGGGGTTCAGGGTGCGCCCCGCCCAGCTCTGGGAAGGACAGGGCCGGGCGAGGTGCCCCTTCATTTTGTTACTGACCAAACCGGGCAACCGACTCCTTGTCGGCCGAGACGCGCAACCTGTCAGCCTCACAACAACAGCCCTGTGAGGAGGGCTGGACTGAAGGGGAGTCACTGGCCCCAAGTCGCCCAGGAAGCCCGGATCTCTTGGCCCGCTGTCCAGCACCTGAACCGGGGAGCCACGCTGGCGCTCAGCCCCCTTTGGGAGGGGGGGGCCATGGCTCAGCAGCTGGGAAACCCCCGGATGAGTGGAAGGCTTATTTTGCTCCCCCAGTACTTTGAAACCCCACCTGGAAAGATCTACAGCCGCAGAACTGCCCATGTGCGCAAGATAGCCCATTATGGCGCCCATGCTCGCTCAGCCTCAGGGAAGCGTGCACTCTGCATATGCCCAGGCACCCCCGCGTCGCTGCTGCTGCATGCCACTGAATGAGGCCATGGGCGGAGGTGGCTGCGAGGCTGGCCATGGCTG